AGGGAGCGGGCAGGGGATCCCAACTCTGCTTCTGGCGCTGATTTACCCCACCGTGACACAGCTAAGTGCTTGGAATCTCTTTTCTGTGGAGGAGGGGTGGGGAGGAAGGGGACTGTGCCTTGCCTAAGTGGATTTTTAAGCCACTAAGGGCAAGGCCTGGCTGTGCTACCTGCCTGAACATGAGCTGTGCCTGATGCAAAAGAGCTCTTGACTCTGCCTGCTGCGTGGAGCGCACTACACCAAAGCAAACAGCGGCAAAACATGTCTCACTATGGCATGTCCAAATTCTAAAGCAAGTTTCAGTTCCACCATTCCTTCACGCTTTTGTTTAAAAACACCATTAGGCCCCCCCCCCCCCGGCTGCCCATGCCGAACCTCAGCTTAAGCTCAGTCGCTCAAAAATTGTTCGAAAGAGGATTCTGAGCACAAAGTGAATCCCTGTGTCAGGTCTTAAAACTGAGGATGAGCTCCGTTCCTCCAGACTCACGACAACGATGCTCTCACACGGCAGAGCATAAGCAGTACATTTTGGTGGCTAAAGCATCACCACAGATTTCGGGTTAGCCAGCTGTACACCGGCCGCACGTCCCTGTCAGGTGCTGTACGGCCATCAGGCGAATTCAGTCTGTGACCACACGGGATCTGGAAAAGAATATTCAGTCTCAAAGCAGGAAATGCCTTCCCTCGACTTCATCCCAGAGGACAATTCACACGTCCTTGCCAGCCCCTGTCCTCTTCATCAGCCGACAGAAACATTTCCCTCTCCTTGTCACACAACACGGGGAGAACATCCCCCTTCTGCTCCCGACGTCAGGAAGCCCGCTGGCTGCAAACCCCGCGTGCCGGTCTGGACGCAACACCTTCACCTACTGATTCGAGAGCCAGTGGAGCTCCTCGCAAAGCCCGGGCACTTTCGCTCGTGCCTACGCAGGTGAATTATTGCGTGAGGTACATATTAGGGCGCTTGGCTCCCCAAAAGACAAGGAATGATCAGGAGAAAGGCTTCTTCGCCTTTTAAGGGGGTGTTGGGTACTACTTTCAGAAACATTCTGTTTGGAAGGAAACGTTATGCTTTACTGGGGCCTGCCTAAGCGGGCACGGGAGGACATTGGTTTGGCCCTGGAGGTGTCTGACCTCCCTCCGGACGTGCAGAGCAGAGCCCCGGGCCTCCCGCGCTGGCTGCTGCAGGGCTGCAAGCGCAGCCGGCGGTCCCAGCAGGCACTCTTACACCCGACCACCCTGCAGAAAGCCCCGGGGAAGCTCTGCCCCGGGAGCCCGGAGCGCAGCGCGGTGCCTGCGCAGCCCTCTCCGCACGCTCTGCTCACGTTAAACCCGTTACCGGCCCAGGTGCGGGCCCCTCCTCGGTCGCCGCAGCCGCGCACCGCGTCCCCTGCCCGGTCCCG